GAGGGGAGTGATGGGGGGGGAAAAAAGAGGAACAAATGTAACCTGAACAATAAAGATTTAATAAAAAAAAATTAATTATTAAACCTTTATTTAATATACATCACTTATTAAGTTGGATGGGCTTTTTCTTAAGTCTATGTATCCATGGTTGACTAGTACTTATGCAAAAATGAGAGTTCAACAGCAATTATATTCCTATTTTTAATTTTTATAGATGTAGACATTGAGAAAATGTATTAATAGGTAAAGTAATAATGGAAGAGTTTTATTATAGAAACATTAGTTAATTCTTTGAACTCCTTGTCTTAAGGAGTATAAGGAAGAGGAGACTATGTTCAGGGAACATTCAAGGTAGAAATTTCTCCTATTATGATACTGGGACCCTACAGGCAGGGCCATCATGGTGCCCCACTACAGGGGCACCTAGGCCTCTCCTCGCTAGAGCGAAGAGTTTACAAGGGCAGACTTCATTGGTAATAATAAAAAACAAAAGAAACAAAGACACTTAAAGATGTGAATGCATCTTCTCCTGGGGAAGATGGAGACAGCGTCGCCTTGGGAAAGTTTGGAGAAGGGAGGCTGACAAAGCCAACGCTACATTTTGGTCAGGACTGACCCCGGCAGCTGGGTGTGGTGCCATGATCTATGGACCAGAAGCGCCACGGAGTTAGTGCCCCCAGGAGCAGCCCCAGTCACGGAGGGGGGGGAATTTGATGCTAAATACTGCGTGTGCACATCCACCTGTACCATTCTCCATCACCCTGTGAGACAGGGCGGGTCCCTGGTGTGCCATGAGGGACGCATTCTTTTGCCTCTAACCCAGGGTTCTCCCATCTTCGGCCAGAACCTGTGAATCTGTGGCAGGCTAACTTGTTAGTTGGCAAGTAAGGCCAAACCTCAGACCCTTCACAGTTCTTGACATTTATGTCATGTAATACTATATAAGTACATAATCTCTATGTATATATATATCTTTTCTGGAATTTCTCCAATAAGCATTTATTGTTTTTAATATTTTAAATGAGTGAGTGGCCCTGTACACTTCTTGACAATAACATACCCTTTGGTGGTTTCCTTCCCTTCTTGTCCCAGGACCCCCATCTCCCACTGGTATTTTCTAGATTCACCTCCCAGATAAACAACTGGTAGTCAAATTCTTGACTCCAGGTTTTCTTAGACAACACAGCCTAAGACAGTATGTTCCATACGAGTTTGTTCAATCACCCGCCACACTCCAGTCTGAAAGAGAGATTAACGCCAGTTTCTACTAGATTTAGTGGCCTGGGGGGCAGAGCGGGGAGGTGAAGGGAGGGGAAGGCCGAGGCCTTTTATGTATTTCCTGCCTGCTGGGAAAGGGCTGCTCCTCATAAGCCTCATCACTGCGGCTCTTACCTCCTACCACCTTCGGATACCCTTTTCTTTTCTTTCCATTGATTTAATTCCCAAATAACATATTCATTTAATGACTATGAAGTGGTTTACACCCCACGGATAATGGAGTGCAATGATTGAGGTGGGATGTGGTACATTTTCCTGAACAATGAATTACAGTAATAAACATTCATCAACTACTGAATAGGAAACACCAAAAACTATTTAGTTTAAAAAAGCATTCCAGTAATAAGGGCAAATAAATAAAAGGCAGAGTCCAATTAAAATGCAAAATAGTAACCAGGCAAATAACTATAAAGAAAGGATAAACCAGAGGGGGCCTTAAGGATAGAGAGCATGGAATTTGATTTGAAATGTTTTTCTTTCATATGCATAATAAAACATACTATTCATATTCAAGTATTCTGCAAAATGTAATGAGTAGAGCAAATCAAATTTGAAATAAGGATGCTTCTAAAAGGCAGTTGGACCTTTTTAAAAATACAAATTAAAATTAAAATCAGCTACTCTTGGGGATGACCTTTTAAATTTTAAGGATCTTTTCTCTCCTACCTGGAAAATCCTCTTTTTCTCCCTCAACCTCTGTCTATTCAAAACCTCTACAGCACTCAACACATTTGTAATACCTTAACCAATAAAGAAATTTAAAAAATTAAAAAATTAAAAAAAAAAACAACTTAAGCGCCCCTGTCCTCCAGAGCCACCTCACAGCACTTATTATCTTTACTACTCATTTTGGCACTTAATAATCACAGCTACCATTTAGTGAGCATTTATTACGTGCCAAGTCCTGAACCAAATCTTCTGGGGGCAATTATCTCACTAAATATAACAATTCTTAAGGCAGCTACTATCGTAATCGCTATTTACATGAAAGAAAATGGAGGTACTGAGTAACTTGTTCAAGATCACAAAGTGAGTCGCAGAGTTAGGATTCAACCTGTTTTTTTTGTTTGTTTGTTTTTTTGTTCATTTCGGGACCTACTATAGTCATATACCGCTTACTGACAGGGATACATTCTGAGAAATGTGTTATGTGATGTTGTCATTGTGCAAACATCACAGGGTGTGGATGTACAAACCAAGGCGTATAGCCTACGCCACACTCAGGCTAAGTGGAAATGAATGTGGTGGTGTCCCGTCAGATTCCAAGGTTTGAGAAACTGCAGTGCCTAACAGGTACTGCCATTCCATTAGTAGGAACTGTAGTTTTATAGAAATGAAATAAATACATTGTTTTTTCCCATTAATATGTATTAGTTTTTCAAAAGGCTAATAAACTGTTAGGACACAAATACCTAGTAAGTTGTTTGGATTCAACTACTTAATAGATGGAACTCTTAGGTGTTTATTTTGGCCTATGAGCTCCATGAAAAAATTACTGAGATGTTAAGGGTTCTATGAACTCTGGGAACCAGGGAAATTTGGGAAGTCCAAGCATTTCTTGGCCTCCAGCTAGTGTTGCTAACTGATGCAAGGAAGGGGGGGGGGGCGAGGAGAAGGAGGTTGAATGAGAGTATGTGTGGTCTCCAGCTGACCCTTTTCAGGGAATTCCTGGGCCATCCTTTCTAAGATCCAGTGAGACAGTGGAGATAACTCTGTGAGGTGATAGACATGTTAATTAGCTTGATTGTGGCAATGATTTCAAAATGTATACATATATCAAACTGAGTCATACACCTGCCTTACATATATGAGTTTTATTTGTCAAGTATACCTCAATAAATATGGCAAACAGTTTTCCTGTGTAATATCAACAGAACCCTCCTTTGGAATTAAAAAATTATTTTATTAAAAATTAAATTGCTGGCCCTGGCTGGATAGCTCAGTTGATTAGAGCATCATCCTGATACACCACGATTGTGGGTTCAATCCCCATTCAGGGGACATACAAGAAGCAACCAATGAATGCATTAAAAAGTGGAACAACAAATTGATGTTTCTCTCTCCTCTCTCTCTCTCTCTCTCTCTCTCTCTCTCAAAAATCAATCAATAAATAAAACAAAAATTTTAAAATCAAATTGCTTTTGAAATTATTTCTTGAATATTGAACTTCTTTGAAAACAGCACTATGTTAAGACCGGATCGTTGTAGCTCAGGTTTATGTGGGTTATATATGCAACCATCATTTCTTTTCTGTTTAAAATACCTTTGGATAACACTTTTTGTTGTTGTTGTTAATCCTCACCTGAGGATATTTTCCATTAATTTTTATGGAGCATGGAAGAGAGAGGGAAAGACAGAGAGAAACATCGATGTGAGAAAAAACACATCAATTGGTTGCCTCTTGCACGAGCCCTGACCAGGGCTCGGACAGGGGAGGAGCCTGCCACCAAGGTATGTGTCCTTGACCAGAATCAAACTTGGGACCCTTTGGGCAGCAGGCCGAAAGCTCTATGCACTGAGCCAAACCGGCTAGGGCTGTGGATACCACTTTAATAGCAATAAACACACCTAGTGCCCAGAACTTAGAGATTACATCCCACTAAAAACAACCAGGGCTCCTTGGAGAAGTGGATGATTCTAATTCTAGGCTGGAGTAGGGAGCGTAAAATGAGGGTTTAGAATATTTTGTGCCAGGAAATGTGGGCGTACTCAAAAACTGATGGGGTCACGTGAAAGAAATACAGAAGCCAGTTTGAGAGGGTTCCCATTTGCTAAATATGGGACAATTTGAGTATCGAAATGAATAATGATTGGAATAAATGATAACACATTGAGTAAAAAGGAATTCAAACCAACACTAGTCTTGAAAAATTAAGGAGGGGAGGAGGAGCAGGCAACATTGTTTACAGAAGAATGCTAACTCATAAATGTGAAATTGTTAGAATTAGCCAACCAATGTTTGCAATCACCATTGTAATAACTGATTCAGGCAAGAATTATCAATAGATATAAAATCATTGAGTGAAAGACTGTTAGGGAATAATATATTCACACAGTCTCAAAGTATCACCAATTACAATTACTAATTAACAAGAATAAAAAAAAAAACCAACGGTACCTTTATCAGTGCAAAGGTCTGGTAGATACCGCTTGAACAAAATGATCAAACTTAATGTCACCATACTGAGACCATGTGTTCTCTGATGTGATGTACTCAGGACACAAATCACACTGAAGTATTCCTGTGGGGGAGAAAAAGGTGCTAACCATAAGGAAATACTAAGACAAAAAATTCAGGAGCATTATGCAAAGTATTAGTAGTTGACCTGGATTCTTCAAAAATGTCAATGTCATGAAAGGTAAAAAAAAGTTCAGGGATTCTCTTTTTCTTAAGAAAAACATGCTTGAAGTATGTTTGGGTGAAATGTCAAGATATCTGAAACTTAGGTTTAAACCTCTTGGATCTTTCACAAAAAGGTGTGTGTGTGTGTGTGTGTGTGTGTGTGTGTGCGCGCGCGCACGCGCACGCACCGCGTGCATGCACGCACCCATTTCCACAAAAACATATTGAAATAGAAAACAAATTTGGCAAAATGTTAACAACTAGTGAACTTAGATAAAGGGTATTTGGGTGTTCATGAGACTATTTTTATAACTTTTTTGTAAGATTAAAAATTTTCAAACTAAAGAAGTTTTAAAAATAACATGTAAAAATAAAATTAAAAATATGCCGAGCCAAAGATAAAATGCTGGAGGCAAAGTTGTGATGGGCAAAGTTAGGAGTCGAGTAAGGACAAAAAGTCTAAACCTATGACTTCTCTTGGCTCTATTCCTAGGAGTCCACCCGGCCATCTGCGAATATCCTATCATATACCATAGATTCTTCAAAGTAGGATCTTAAGCTCTTGACCTTGTGTCACAAGGAAAAGATAGATGAGAAATTCAAACACGCTATAGCTGAAACTCCTTCCTACAGACATGCTCTCCAGCCCTTCTTGTTCAAGGGGCTGGCTGAATTTTCCTTTTCTTTGGCTGTCGGTTTGTCATGGGGATAACACAGTTCCCACGGCCTAGAAGGAGAGCTGGATGCCAGCAATTCCAGTCATTTTGAAGTGCATTTTGGGAAGTTAAAGACCATGTCTTATCTGGTTTGCAAGGCTTCCTTCCTCGTCTTTCCATAAATCTTTTCTGGACATATTGCATCTGACTCCTCTCTCATCCCTCATGGTTTTCCCTTGTCCTGGTGACCTAGCAGAATGCCACTGTTGATTCTTTATGTGTCACCTGTGAGCATGAATGTGGACTCCTTCCCCCTGCCTTTGCTCATTATTTATTCATCCAGGATAATTACTTATTCATGTAGGTCACTTTATTTTAAATGATACTTTTACAAATGTTGAAGCAGATGAGCACTTGTATTCTAAAGGGCAGGAGAGATGAACAACAGATACAAAATGTACCGCGGAGAGCTGCACTAACAGAGAGATGAACGCAGACCTGGGATCTCTTCTCGTGTCTTCATCATCTACCTCTTTCCATTGGCCTGATCTGTTCTCAATGGCCGCTTACTACTTTAAATACCCTCGTGATTGTTTTGGACTCTATTACCTTTTTTTTAAAGCAGGAACCACAATGGCTACCGAATATGGCTAGACTGACCAAATTGGAGATGGGACTCTAAGAGTTCTAAATCCAGTCTAAGCCAGGCCCCTGATTGGTCATTTAATTTTTTTTATAATTTCTTTTAAAAAATATATTTTTGATGATTTCAGATAGGAAGAGAGAGAGAGACAGAAGCATCAATGATGAGAGGGAATCATTGATTGGCTGCCTCCTGCACACCTACTGGGGATCGAGCCCGCAATCTGAGCATGTGCCCTTGACCAGAATCGAACCTGGGACCCTCCAGTCTGCAGGCTGATGCTCTATCCACTGAGCCAAACCAGCTAGGGCTGGTCATTCAATTTTTATTGAGCATCTACCTTTAGTCAGGCACTATGTTTGGAAGTGGAGGGAAACACCGAGACAATCCTAACAGTGCACATCAGGTTCATGCTGGTCTCGTCTAAAGAAGACTGACGGGGAGAACATGGCTCCCACCACGTGGATGTGAGTGCATCATCTAGGAATCGTGTTCATCTGGTAGTAACAGATACTCAATGAAGGATGGTTTAAAGAAATTGCAGGGTAATTTTTCTCTTTTGCAGGAAGACGTAGGCAATTCAGTGGTGGCCTGACAAGCCCATGGAGTCATCCAAGTCTGGGCCTCTTGCATCTTGCTGCTTTGCCTTTCTTAGTACACAACTTCCACCCTAAAGTTTGCCTCATGGTGACAAGATGGCCAATGCATTGTGTCTGCATTCTAGGCTGGAGAAAAGAGGAAGAGAGAAAAGAGAGGGGCAACAAAGGTACTTCCAGGTAAATCAAACCCCTCTTTTAAAAAATATATATTTTTATTGATTTCAGAGAGGAAGGGAGAAGGAGAGAGAGATAGAAACATCAATGATGAGAGAGAATCATGGATCGGCTGCCTCCTGCATGCCCCACACTGGGGATGGAGCCTGCAACCTGGGCATGTGCCCTGACCGGGAATCGAACCGTGACCTTCTGGTTCATAGGTTGACGCTCAACCCCTGAGCCATGCCGGCTGGGCAAGTCCCTCTTTTTTTTTTTTCATGGCTTAGTTACTTTTTTCTTTAAATTAAATTCATTGGGGTGACATTGGTTAAATAAGATTATATAGGTTTCAAGTGTACATTTCCATGATACATAATCTGTATATTGCACTGTGTGCCCACCACCCAAAGTCAAATCATCGTCCATCACCATAAATTTATCAACCCCCTTTTAAAAGAGCTTCCCCAAAATCCCTACCAACATTTCTGTTTCCATTGCTTTAGCCAGAAGTTAATAGCGAGTCAAGGATTTCTTAGACATGACACCAAGAGTATGATCCATTTAAAAAACCCAAAAGGACTTGTATCCAGGATCTATAAAGAACTCTCAAAACTAAACAATAAGAAAACAAACAGCCCAATTTTTTAAATGGGCAAAACCTTAAACTATAACCCAGCAATCACATTCCTGGATATTTATCAGAGAAATTAAAATTTGTATCCACACAAACCTGTACACAAATGATCATTGCAATGTTATTTGCACATAGCCAAAACGTCCCTCAATAGTTGAATGGTTAAACATACTGTAGTATGTTTATACCATGGAATACTCACTCAGCAATATAAAACCATTAACTATAGACTGGATCTTGAGAGCATTATTCTGAATGAAAGAAAAGCCAATCTCAAACTGTCACATACTATATAACCCTATTTATGCAGCATTCTCAATGTGACAAAAGTATAGAGATGGAAAAAATTACTGATTGCCTAGGGCAGTGGTCGGCAAACTGCGGCTCGCGAGCCACACGCGGCTCTTTGGCCCCTTGAGTGTGGCCACGAAGTTTCAATCGCACTGTACGTGCGCGCCCGCATGTTCTATTTTGTGGAAGAGCCACACTCAAGGGGCCGCAGTTTGCCGACCACTGGCCTAGGGTACGGATGATTGGGGGAGGTGTGTGGCTATGATTATAAAGGGGTAGCACATGGGAGATGTTGGCAGTAATACAATAGTACTGCATCTTGCTTGAGGTGGTTCTTACATAAATCTACACAAATGACAACATAGTATAGAAATATACACACACTTTATACCAATGTCAATTTCTGGTTTTGATATTATATTATAGTTATGTATGATGTAACCATTAGGGGGAACTAGGTGAAGGGTATATGGGACCTCTTTATACTATCTTTACAATTTCCTGTGAATTTAGTTATTTAATAATAAAAAGGTTTTTTAAATAGCAAAATACTTGAGCAAACACTTCAAGAAACAATATTCAGATCACAAATAAGCACGTGAAAAGATGTTGAACATCGTCAGCTATTAGGGAAATGCAGATTAAAACTACAAGGAAATACCACTACACACCTATTAGAATAGCTACAATGGAAAGTATTGACAATACCAAGTGCCAACAGGGATGCAGAGCAACAGAAACTCAAACTGGTGCAGCCCCTCTGAAAACAGTTTACAGATGTGTGTTTTTTAAGAAAGTCAAACTACACTTACCATATGACCCGGCAATCCGACACCTAGGTAGTTCCCTGGAGAATTAGAAACTTACATTCACCCCCAAATCCATACATGAATGTTCGTAACAGCTCCATTCATAAATGCCCCAAACTGGCAACAACCCAATGTCCTTCAACAGGCCAATGAATAAACAAATGGTGGTACATCCATACCATGGAAATCTACTTAGCAATAAAAAGAAAAGAACTATTGACAAATGCAAAAACATGAGTGAATATCAAAGGAATTGTGCCCCAAAGTCTCAAAGGGCTACACACTATATAATTCCATTTGTATGATAGCTTGCAAAGACATAACTATAGTGACAGAGAACAGATTAGCGGTTTCCCAGGGTTGGGGGAGGGGGAGGGCATGACTGCAAAACAGAGGGTCAGCAAACGTTTTCTGCAAAGGGCCCACAGTAAATATTTTAGGCTTTGTGGGCCAGATATGGTCTCTGTTGCATATTTTTCCTTATTTTTGTTTGTTGTTTTGTTCTTTTCCCAACACTTTCAATACATAAAATCCATTTTTAGTTTCTGGGCCCTAAGAAAGCAGGCCATGGGTCAGATTTGTCTTGGGCGCAGTTTGCTGACCACTGCTA